CGTGCCCGCCGAAGGCCGCGGCAGAGCAGGGAGCCCTGCAGAAAAATATGTTTGGAGAGTCTTTGACTGATAAGAAAAAAACAAAAGAGAGAGAGAGAGAGAGAGAGAAAAAAACACACACACAAAATAGTAATGAATGGCCTCCAACCTGCTAGCGATGGCCTCCAACCTAAAAGCAATGGCATCTTTAGAAAGTCTCTGAAAGTTGCATTTGTCTTTCTTCACCCACAAAGGCAGTCCGTCGGGACACATCTGGCAGCTCAGCGGGAGACAAATCATTGTCCCAGGAGTTGCTCCTGGACCAACAGGAGTTGCCATTAAGTTGAAGGCAAATGCTGTTAGGCTGGAGGCCATTGCTTCTAGGTTGGAGGCCATTGCTTCCAGGTTGGAGGCCATTGCTATTAGGTTGAAGGCCATCGTTGGAGGCCATTGCTACTAGGTTGGAGGCTATCGCTAGTAGGTTGGAGGCCATTGCTTCCAGGTTGGAGGCCATTGCTTTTAGGTTGAGGGCCATTGCTAGGTTGGAGTCCAATGCTTCTGGGTCGGAGGCCATTGTTTCTAGGTAAGAGGGCATTGCATTGCTATTAGGTCTGAGGCCAACGCTTCTAGGTTGGAGGCAATTGTGTCTAGGTTGGAGGCTATTAGGTTGGGACCATCGCTAGTAGGTTGGAGGCGATTGCTTCTACGTTGGAGGGCATTGCTATTAGGCTGCAGGCCAATGCTTCTAGGCTGGAGGCCATTACTTCTAGGTTGGAGGGCATTGCTATTAGGTTGGGGGCCATTGTTATGAGGTTGGAGGCCATCGTTGGAGGCCATTGCTACTAGCTTGGAGGCTATCGCTATTAGGTTGGAGGCCAATGCTTCTAGGTTGGAGGCCATTGCTTCTAGGTTGGAGGGCATTGCATTGCTATTAGGTTGGAGGCCAATGCATCTAGCTTGGAGGCCATTGCTTCCAGGTTGGAGGCCATTGTTATTAGGCTGGAAGACATCGCTAGTAGGTTGGAGGCCAATGCTTCTAGGCTGGAGGCCATTGCTTCCAGGTTGGAGGCCTTTGCTAAAAGGTTGGAGGCCATTGCTTCTAGGTTGGAGGTCATTGCTACTAGGTTGGAGGCCAGTGCTTCTAGGTTCGAGGCCATTGCTTCTAGGTTGGAGGGCATTGCATTGCTATTGGGTTGGAGGCCAATGCTTCTATTTTGAAGGCCATTGCTATTAGATTGGAGGCTATGGCCCATGGCTAGTAGGTTGCAGGCCAATGCTTTTAGGTTGGAGGCCAATGCTTCTAGGTTGGAGGGCATTGCTATGAGGTTGGAGGCCAACGCTTCTAGGTTGGAGGTCATTGCTACTAGGTTGGAGGCCAGTGCTTCTAGGTTGGAGGCCATTGCTATGAGGTTGGAGGGCATTGCATTGCTATTGGGTTGGAGGCCATCGCTATGCGGTTGGAGGCCAATGCTTCTAGGTTGGAGGCCATGGCTATGAGGTTGGAGGCCATTGCTAGTAGGTTGGATGCCATTGCTATGGGGTTG